TATTTTATAGAGCTTAGTTAGTTATATAATATAAAAAAAAAATTATTTGAATTGGATTATTAGATGGCTAGAAATTTCAATTTTTATTCATAAAATCTACACAGTCCCGTAAGGTCATTTTCAAGGCAAAGACCCCATATGCTGCTGATATTCAGCAGGTATTTGGCGGATCTATGGCAGACTAACGGGTACATATCGGGAAACTTTTCTCTCGGTATGCACCCGATATTCATTGATTCAACCTGTGATACCTAGGCATTTTTCAAATATATCCAAATATTTGAGAATTTTTCATGTAATACATTAATAGTAAATCCAAATTTCCGGTTATTTTTACACAAAGTTCTTGATTTTTATTGGTTAGCAGCGAATACTATGCTATCTGATTGGCTAATTTACGAGATGAAACGTGATCATTAGCCAATCAAATCCGTCAAAAATTTTAATATTAGTAAATGTTTTTATCTCAAATTTAATTATCTGTTATAGATACATATAACCACATAATTAACAAAACAATACTATTACGTATACATATTATCGACCCACTACTTTACTACTTAACCAAAGCAAGGTTACGCCTACTATTCTAATCACAGATATAAATAAGCTTTAGTATAATAACTATTAGTAAAACATTATGTTTTCAAAAGGTACTTTAAAGTGTATAATAAGTTCTTCGAATAATGATTTATATCAGCCAATCAGGCTGTCCTATTGGAAAACATCTTTGAAAGAAAACGATTTTTTCGTGTCTCTGATTGTGAGTCACAAGTTGAGACTAGTCCAGTCTCTAAATTTATGTTATCCATGTTCCTATTCCTATTATAACGAAAGAAATATTTATTCTTTTTTTTTCAAATAAGACAACAATATGGTAATCAACAATAGTGGCAAATATAATCAGTTGTTACTATTATTGATTATCATTCTATCTATACTATAGTAAAGAGAATAATCTTAAACGTAAACCGATCTGTCATTTCATTCTACTGTATTTTAAAAGTATTGAACCCACATTTTTACATCTATATTTTTTTTAAATTTGTACATAATAAATAAATAAAAACAGTGTGTTAATAAGATTTGAGATACTTAGTTTCAGAGATTATCTGGGATCTTTGCTATCAAAATGACCCTCCGAGGCTATGTTGATTTTGTGAATAAAAATTAAAATTGCCAGCCATCTAGTAATCCAATTTGAATAAACTTTTTTTATTTTGTAAATCTCAATAGAATCTACAAATTAAAAAAAAATTCATTCAAATTGGATAACTAGATGGCTAGAAATTTTGATTTTTATTCATAAGATCAACATAGCCTCGGAGGGTCATTTTGATAGCAAAGATCCCATCTCTCCTGCTTGTCCCAACCACCGCGTAGAGGCGTATCTCTTTAGGTTGGGAAGGTATAATGCAGGCGGCCACCTATCAAATAGAAACTGTAGTCGTATACCCCAATCAGTCTTTCCTGTATCTCCTGTACAGAAGCAGGTTGTTCTCACCAAAAAATTAAAAAAAAAGAGAAAAATAGAGAGAACGAAATTCTGAATCATCAAATTTTATGTTTTGATTTGAAGTTACACTAATTATTGGTTTTTTATTGGTAATTAACAAAATGCAAAAGTATCAATTTTTACATTTAACATATGGATGAGTCAATAGAAATCAAGCAAATTTTTATTAATTTAAAAAATTTTTATTAAGTTTTTGTTAGGTTATTCTTAAAAAAACTTATTAAAAAAATATATTTGCTTGAATTTTATTGACTCAACCTCACATCATCTCAAAAACTAGTTACCGTATATAGCACCCGGCCTTTTGCAAGACTAATTAAATAATACCCCGGGGTACTGTATGAAGAGGGGGATACTATACAAGGGAAGAGAATATTAATGAGTTGTTCGTATTACAGGATCATTGATTCGGCCACTTGATTAATATCGGGGTACTTTACAAAAATGTTAGAATTTACAATTGAATAGTATCCCGATACTATTTAAAGGAGATACTTCTTCAAGGGGGTACTACTGTATATGCGGCGCTGTACGGTAATTAAAATATTCTATGCCCCTAAAAACCCCTAACCCTTAATACTAACTCTAATTTAAAAAAGTTGTGTTAAATTTTATATACAAGACTTGGAAACATCTAAAAAAAAACAAACATATAATAGGTGTATGATACACATTACACGAGTTAAAGAATTTAAAAAAAACCAACAAATATATATATAATCAATAACCACTAGAAATATTCGCTCTATATATTTTATTAATCGATTTTATACATATATCGATATGTACATATTTATAGTTAACCGCCATGCTATAATACAAATATAGCATGATAAGTCTGAGATACATCACACTAGAGGCATGCACGGGCCGGGCCGAAAATAAAAAAAAATTTTTTAAAAGCCTAACAAAATTGCGTAAATTTTATTTTGTGGGCTGGCAAAAGTACAAATTTTTAGGCCCGTGCAGGTCCCTACATCATATCGATATGGAGAATGCTGCTTCGCGGCGTTCTCTGATAAAAAAAAAAAAATTATCACTGCACCAATGATTATCTTATCATACTATATATATTGTATATATCAAATCAAGCTATGATATGTCATATATATATATATATTGCTAAATAATATATGAAAATATATATATAGTTAACCAAAATTTGGTTATGTATAAGATTGGCCACTGTATGAATTAATATACGTATAACTTATATACAATACAGCAATATACGTATATATATACGTACGTACGTATTACGTAAATATTAATAATATTTCGTTTGCTGAGAGCAAAATTTTTGATACATATACGTATGATATATACGTATACGTAACCGTATACGTATAACGATAAATGCTAAGTTATATATAGCCCTATTTACAATATATATACTGTATATATACGTATACGTAACTTGTATTAATAATTAATTTGATCTTGTAACGCGTAACAAAGATTAGATAATACTTGAAAAAATAAAAAAATTGATAAAAGTTAACAATTTTTAGTAATTTTGTATGTATATAATAACAATTGTAAGCGAATTAGCATCATATTTTATGCAAAGATTATTTTATTTACACTCTGCATACCATAAATTTTGCAAAATGGCCAAATGATTAAATTATCATTAGTAAGTAAATAAATAAATAGATCAAAAAAAGGTGCAATATAGATTTTTGGAAAAAATTTTCTTTTTTTTTTAAATTAATTTTTTTTTTTTACAAAATATATATAACAGATAAACAGAATAACTAGCTTAAATGATGTTTCTTTACAGTAATAATTGGTAACCTATTTTTTTAATTAGCGCATGTACGGTGGTTTTTTTTTTTTTTTTATGTTGACAACTGTATGTAGGAAGATTGTATATTAACATTGAAAGTTACGCAGAAAGAATGAAAAAATGCAGGAAAAAAAAAAACAAATTTACAAAAGAAAAATTAAGAAAATTATTTACTCGGGTATTAAAACTAACGGAGGGGTGTAAAAAAACGAAAGACACAAATAACATCATAACAACCTTTCACAAACATCACGAATGTGCGTTAAAAGGTTAGATAATGATATACTTCGAAAAGTATTCATAAAAATTGAAAAAAAATCATATCTCTTATAATATAAGAAGAAATATTTTCATAATGGAGTATTAAGAAAATGATTATTGGAACATGATAATTTGCATAAATCGAGAGAAATCCCGATAAAAGAAAAAAAAACTATATAATCGTAAAAAAGAAGACAAGTAAAGTTTGAACGTTCACGCAAGAAAAAGAAACAATTATTAAGCATACACACACAATATATGAGAATAAAAAGGGAAAAAAAGTACGGTGCAAGAAAAATCCAATTTCGGAAGAGAAAAAGGTGGATTTGCATTGCATGTTCACCTACGAAGTAGTGATTCTGAATGCATCTGCAATAATGGATAAAAAAAAAAAAGGCAAAAAATTGAGAGAATACTTGAAGGTGTAAAATCACATTATTATTGACACGCAAAACTATTATTTTATCCACCAAAAGTATAAAAAAAATAAAATAAAATAAAATAAAAAAATAAAGGGAAACGAAATCAAGACCTACCAAAAGTTTTTCTTGACAATACTGATAATAAATGTACAAATTCATTTTTTTTTTTCCCTATTTTGTTCTTATTTTGTTTTTTTGAATTTTTTTTTTTGAAATTTTTTTTTTTTGATTTTCGCTTTTGCTTAATTCTAATACCAGAACGACCGTTTACCCAACAACAGTACCACTTCCATTTGTCGCCACAACATTCGTTTGACTTGGTGAATGAGGATGAGATGATGACCATACATTAATATTATGGGGTAATGCTGGACGGGTCCTGGTTTTTAATAACTCGCACAAATCATCATATACACGATCAGTATCTTCTTCATTACTGGAATAACCAGGTCTTCCATTTGAGACAGAATTATTATTATATGAACCACGAATGTTACGATCAGCAGAAGAAGAAGGTGGAGAAGGACTAGAATGAGAATTAGCATTGCGATAATCAGGCCTAAAATAAGGCTCAACAGAGGAATCGGTATTGTGACCTGAAGGTAAAATTAAACCAGACCCTCTTTGTGAAGATTCAGTAAGACCGGATCCAGAACGATTTGTTGTAGAAGAACTCGATGAAGAAGAACTAGGAGAGAAAGGGAAGGAGCTAGGACGGTCATCATTCATATTATATATAGAAGTAGATGAACCTTCCTTACGACCATCCTTATGCCTAAGCCAAGGTTCTTCACCGAGACCTTGAGATTCATCATCTCTCGCATGATTTCCATAATGAGAATAAGAAGAACTAGAACTAGCAGGATTATTATTTCCACCAAATGACTGACGGCCTTCATCATCACTAATTTCTTCACCCTTATATTTGGCAATCTCAATACGTAAATTACGAATGATCTGAGCCATTTCATCTTTTTCTTTAATTAAATTTTCAAATTGCTTTTTAATTGTATCTAAACTCTTTGCCTTTGCTTCTAAATCTTTAATATATCTGTCTTTACGCTGACGAAAAGCACGCTGAGCAGCCCTATTTTGTGCAGCACGCTTAGAATTAGTTAAAGTTCGATTTTGATTTCTTCCAGCAGACATATTAGCAATATTTGAAGACATATCGACATGTTGAACAGACTGGTTTTGAGGAGGGGGAAGAGCAGGCGCACCAGTAGGAGGCTGCTGAACACCGAAGGAAGAAAGAGGAGACTGAGCAGGTAAAGAAATATTTGGAACATCCATCATTGTTCGTTGCGCTTTAGTTTTGTCATCTAAAACATGCACTGGGTGTTCCATAATGAAATAAAAAATATATAAATATATTTTTTATATATAAAAAAAAAAGGAAAAGAAAGTGTAAATAAAGTTGAGTTAAAAAAAAATTGTAATAAAAATATTAATAATAATAGTAAACAATAACGAAAAAGAAAAGTGATAAACGTAAACACAAGAAAGATGAACGAATTAAAGGAATAGATAAATAGAACAGCCCAAAATGATAAATAAATAAATAATAATTGTTTGCCCTCAAGAGTTGAAACTTTTTACGGACAAGATGAACACTTCATCACATCGATCATTCCAAAGTTGGATTGTTTTAAAAATTTAAAATTCATAATTTTCTTATTGATTATGATACTATGCAAGATATTTTTTTGCATAAAAATCAGATGCATTTCCAAGTAGACAAAGCCACAACAAATACATATAAAGAAAAAATCGAACAGATGACCCCAAAAAAAAGAAAACGTGATAAAAATATAAAAAATGATGGAATAAAAAAAAGAAAAAAAAAAAAAAGAAAAAATTCACATACTTGAACCATTTGCAGACGGGTAGCCAGGACCAAAAGGTATACTAGTAGATCCTGGAGTAAAAATTTGAGAGTTTAGACGTTGCTTATCAGGTGAAGGCCACTGAGGGTTAGCAGTAGCCATTGAATTTTGCTGTTGCAAAGATTGAGACGCCATCTGTTGTTGGTGCGACTGAGGGTGGTCGTTTATGGACGAAGTGTTAGGATGGAGGTAGTAGGGACCATTAGTTGTGCTACTGTTTGTAGTGGTACCGCTATTATGAAGAGGTGGAGAAAACGACGTCCTGTACATGGTAGGTGTGTGTGTGTGTGTGTGTGTGTGTGTGTACACTGAATTATAAGACATTTCGACGTTTGTAGAGACAAGTAAACGGTTTCGATGAGTAATATATATATATATATAATCGTATAAAAAAAAAAACAAAGAATGTAGCTTTCAAAGTCGAAAAATGAAAATGCGAAAGGACGATTTCACTTTATTTTTTTCGAACGTCATAAAGATCGCGAATATTTATATACAAAAAAAAAAAAAAAAAATTTTTTTACCAGTACGTAAATCTGTAATCAAATAATCAAATGTGTGAACAGATGAAAAGAATTTATAAATCTTACATAATAATCTGTGTTAAATAGAGTTTTTGCAAAGGCCAACTGAATCGGTCGCGTGAGAAACTTAGTGCATTGGAAACTTTGATGGTCGGGGCCACCAATTTGCAGAGTTTGCAGGTATGTACTTTCCCAAATGAGGGTACCATTTTAAAATCGAACTAAATAAATGCATATTAGGAAAGAGTTATTCTGTACAGTCACAAGCCTGGCATTAGAAAAAAAATACTTACACATTTCATGTATATACGTAACAGTCTTACATAGTTTATTATTAGGTAATTTATTTGTTGGCACTGTGTTTTCATAGTGAATGCTAGCTAGCTTGGAATGGAATTTTTTTTTTTTAAAAAAAAAAAAAGAAAAAAAAAAAACATTGTTTTTTATTCTATTGCGCATCAGGAACAATAGCTCCATTGTTTATAATAAGAACAAAGGAATAGATAATGCAGTTGGATACTCGAGCTGTTGTGCCAAAGAATTGTAAATCTATTGCGCACATACACATTTCATATTAAATGGGGAATCATTGATGAGCGTTATATACGATCATTACTTTAAACTGTAATATCCCCCAATGCCCAATGCTCAAATGGCCGATCTCTGATATGTACAGATAAGTTTGTATCATTGACCTAAAGTTTGTGGCTCATGCGTTTATAATGTACGAAACACGATAAGATTTCCGAATAATTTAATAATTTAGATTTACGAAAACAAGAGATCGTCTTTACATCGTAACAGTGATAACTAATTTAACTAAACAGGAAAAAATCTCTAAAATTGAAGATTCCCAACTAAGTTGTCATTTCATTGTTAGATTATTAATTTTATGTAGAAGAATTTCACAAGCTCTATCGATATTACATGAGAATCTATTCTTAATCATTCCATATATGTTATTAAAGACAGATCTGTCAGCAATGTGCAAAATTACGTATTGCTTTAAATAACCACGATCCGGAAAATTTTTTTATATTGAAGATCTTAAATCCGAAAAAAGCTAATCCCGTTCACTTCTGGTTTTGCGTTAGTGTAAAGAATTTGTTATGCAAGATTATCATTATTCTTAGAAAAAAAAAACCATTCAATGTGTTTACATGAAAATAATCGTATTATATAATGTAACAAACAAATAAAACCGACACCCAAGATATACGTACGTACGTACGTATAGTTATTTGTAAAGGCGTATCGGTATAGTGGTATCTAATCAATTGATTTTTTTAAGAAAATTATATCAAATGCGTATTAATTATAGTATATATTTAGATTTTTTTTTTGTGTGTATTTTATATTATATATACTGTATTAAAATTAATATAAATATATTACGTATAACTTTAAATTAAAATTACTATACATCAATATACTACTGAATATATTGTATGAATACTACAGTATATGTGTTAACAAAATTATTATATATTTATTTATATATATTGATATAAATACTGTATATAATATAACCTTTTATTTTTAATATATATAAGTTTTAATTTTTATAAATAAAATACTAAAAAAATAAAAATATAATAATAATAGTTGTTATTTTTTATATAAATTACAATATTATATTAAAAATTTTAAAAGTTTGTTAAAAATTTATAAATATAATAATTTTTTTTGGTTAAAATAAATAAGTTTTTTTTTTTTTTTTTTTTAATATTTGGGGTGTAGCTCCTGCCCCAGACTTTTATTAATACTTAAGTAAATTGACA